CAATTTATCGAGGCCGAAAATATACCCTAATAGGGCCTCAATCACATGTAAATTGCGGACTACCGCCACCTCCTGGCATATCTCCCGCGCCGCTACGCGCGCGCAGGAGATACTCTCGGCGGTGGCGGTAGTCCGCAATTTAAGTCGCCGAAAATCCGCAATTTACATGTAACTGAAACCCTGTTAGGGTATATTTTCGGCCTCGATAATTTGGGACCGTATTTTGGAGGAAAGCCCATGCGGGTGAATTTTCCTTTCCTTGCCACACTCCCATACCTCAATTATTCGCGCGGTGCTGTCTGGTTGGGCATACCATGACCGTCTCCAGTCGGTCATGGGCATACACAACACAGTGCGCGGGAAGTCATGCAGTTAGTCGACAAATTATCCTCATTGCATATCGAATCATTTAGTCCGGAAGTGCTCGGATACCCTCCTCAGTAAATCCACAGCGTGTAGCAGCTGACGACACCAGTTCTGTATTGGTTTCTTATCCTTCTTTGGCTTCCTGCATATTGCTCTTCTCTGGCCACACTTCTTTTAACATGTTGTTCTTACAGTCTGGTCATTGTTGCAGCTTCAAAGTTATCACTTGATTCTCACAAACTTCTTACTAAATCATTCAGAATATCAAGGCTCGTCCACCCTCCACAGTAGCTTTACCTGCAAGAATATCAGTCTGCACACCCTTACACAAATATGAAACAGATATTTGTGTCAGCCTGACAGCTTCAGTGACTCCAACCACGGTCTTCAGACCAAATCCATGTCTATCTTCCCGAGCTTACTGAGTCTCTGAAAAAGCATGCACGGTTGAAAGTCTGTGTTTCCAGACATATTATTGCCTTGGTCACTGCCATGACCTCCATAGTCAAGCTACTTGTGGTCAAGGCAACAGCACCAGAATCTTGCTTCACAATTCTACCTCCAACTTGCTGTGAAAGCTGACGAACTTTTCACGTAGTGAAATACATACCCGTCTTATAAATGACAGCATCCCCCTCAGCAGATCAAAGCTTGCACTTCTGCCTCTACAGCAGCTTTCTACATGGCTTTCTTGTCTGCATTTTCTGTCTAGTTGGATGGAAACAGAAAAGGTCGTACAACACTTTCTTGGTACTTGAACCCATTTCTCCTCAGGTTCTATGTCCTCAAGTGAAATTACATGCTGAATAATGTCTTCAGCCCGACCCATTGAGAATGTTCCTATTTTTCACATGCTGCCTTTTTTCTTCTTAATTGCGCTGTACAGAGGTGTCAGTGTCTGCGTAGACTCTGAGGTAAGGGGATGCTAGGCAAATTTGTATTTTGTCTTCCATGGCTGGAAATCAAGAAGGTCGTGTATCACCCTGCATGCTGTATCTCTTGTACACAGGCATATTGCAAACAGCCTCTTTCTGTTTTCTTTCCATCCTCTCCAACTGCTAATGGCCAAGAATCAGTATCGCCGTCAAATGCTCAAAGACAGAAAGGACAGGCCTTGTTTTAAAAGACAGTGTAAGAAGAAAATCGGGCTTTCAGTTCACCTACATAGCATTACAATGGAGATAACAGCTGCCCCAAGGGCAATTGCATGGTTGACAGAACAGAAAGCTCCTCACGCGTTGATAGTGACAGGTTCAGTATTCATGCGAAGATCCAGCTGGCAAACTCCAATTAGAATAGGTTGACAGCATCCAGAAGTCCCACCTCAAGAAACTGTCTTGGCTCTACCCAACAGCATAGTAAGGTCAGATGACACTCCGTGAGGAGCAAAATTACCCCCTCCCTCCAATATATATATATATATATATATATATATATATATATATATATATATATATATATATATATATATATATATATATATATATATATATATATATATATATATATATATATATATATATATATATATATATATGTAGTCATATATTTTGGCCAATTTGTCCCCACCTCTCCTCGAGGCGATCCTATCTACGCCACGGGCTGTACATCACAAGGATACGCCAGGGTGAAAGGAGCGGCTGTTAGTGGAGGAAGCAGCGTTCTCAGGGCAGACATACTGAATGTGCTGTGTTCCTTGATAATCTACATGTACTTAGCGGGTCCTAATGGTTACATATGAGAGTAGATCTTGATAGTCTAATGCAGAGTCTGAGTTACATAGGGAGGCATGAGAATTTTGGATAGGCTTAGGTGGGGAATGGCACACAAAAAAGGTAAGGAAACACCAGCCTAACGTAACAAGAGTGGATTCTGATAGCTTACATAAGAGAGTGGATCTTGATAGTCTAATGTAACACAAGTGGATTTTGATTGTTTACATGTGAGAGTGGATCTTTATAGTCTAATGTAACAAGTGTGGATTTTTTTTTTTATACAAGAAAACTGTGCGTCCAAATGTCAGAAACATTTTTTTCAAAGCTCCACCCTGGGGGCCCTAAAAAAAACCAACCTATGGGTTAAACAGGGTTACTGGGACCTGTTCCAAGGTGATCCTTTTCCGAATGGTGGCACTTTATGTCCCCAGGTGTTAATCGCTTAATTGGATTTTGAATGTCATCATCATCATTTTGATAACTGACAAATGAGAGAGGATCTTGATATACTACATGTTAAAAGGATAGATCTTGATAGTTTACCTATGGTGACATTAGGGCAAGCAGGAAAGTATTTAGCCACTTGTCTACAGCAACTGCCAACATATGTTTAAAAAAATGTGTCTGCAAACTGTTTTATTTACACACACACACACACTCTCTCTCTCTCTCTCACTCTCTTCTGTTCATCCCTGCCATCCTGCTACAGACTAGATCTTTCGTTTCCATTTTAAAAAAACACAACTTTGTTATTAAAATAATTTATATATTTTTTTAATATACAATATTCTCAATGTATGATATATATATATATATATATATATATATATATATATATATATATATATATATATATATATATATATATATATATATATATATATATATATATATATATATAACAAGTACTGTAACCTTTACTGTGAATCTGCCATAAATTTTAACTATTACAGCAAGACTATGTTTTTCTGTTATGAATTTAAATAATGCGAACACAAACAATACATTGCACAATTTATTGCCAGGCATATTTCGCTGTATCTCGTCAGGTACGGTTACTATAGAGTTACATCAACATAAAATGAAGCACAAAAACTGAATAAATCTAATTGAAATGCGAATAGTCACACTTATATTGTTCCTAACTCAGTCAAACACAAAATCTGTATTTTTATACAGCTATACCTAGCTATGTCTAGATCCTGCGAATATTTTGGCCAAACAAGATCACAGATGCTAAGGAGGTGGCAGTCCAAGAGTTGATTCATGACAATTCTCGCCCAGCTGATCTGATTATCTATACAGATGGTTCGGTTTTGAGAGAGAGAGAAGTGCCTGGGGGTTCGTAGCGAAAGCCAATTGAAAATCTTTAGTGCAGGACAGCCTAGCATATGCTACCACCAAGTCTAGCATGAGAATGAAGGTTGAGGCAGTAACTTCAGCTTTCCGGTGGCTAGAGAACAAGATGCATACACACGTCATAATTGTAACAGACTCTGAAAGCATGCTGAGAAAATTGAAGACAGGGATGCTTTGAGCAGAGTGGCAAGCTTCACTACAAAGGTCACGGGTAGTTAGCATACTTTGGGTCTTTTCTCCAGGCCATGCTGGCGTGATGCAGAATGAACAGGCAGACAGATTGGCTGGAAGGTAGATGTGGTCAGGGCCCTGTTTTTCAGTTTATAAAATACTACACATATGTCATAAATTTAACCAAGGAGTTGTTTAAAATACCCAGAACAAAAGAAACAAAATGTTCAAACTGAGTAAAGTAATTCCATCATAAATGCTAGGATTTATCGATCTCAAACTGTAACAGTGTATTTGTTTCATACATGAATAACGTATCTGGTCAATGTGGGAGTAGAAAATCCACCAGTTTGGCATTGTCATAATAGCCATCCCCTGACATCAGCTTTGTCCTTCTGAGATTGAAGGAGTTGAGAGCAAAGTTTATCAAAATATATTTAAACAACTATTTAAATAATGCAGACACAAAGAATACAGTGCACAATTTATTGCCAGGCATATTTCACTGTATCTAGTTAGGTGCGTTACTACAGATAAAATGATGCACACAAAAAACTTAATAAATCCAACTGAAATGTGAATGGTTTCTTTCGATGCATCGTATTTGTCTAGTCACTGGAAGTTCACTGTTTTTCATGTGACTTACTTAGGTAACTTTACATTTACTATAAATTCCGTCAGCTTACAAAGGAGTTTTTTTATTTTTATTGTTAAAGCTTTAGCCATTCTCAGCAGCCACCTGTTCAATGTGGTAAACTACATGCTTAAGGCGGGGCAGAGGTCATAGCGTAGAGTCTCTCTTGGTCTTCTCCATTTTCTTTTTCCTTCCGGTGTCCACCATATGAGGACATGATGGGGAAGTCTTGTCTTATCCATTCTGAGTGCAAGGCCTATGTAGTTACAGCAGCGCTTTGTTATAAAATTGGATACACTGTCTTGCTTAATCTCTTGTCTTATTTGTGTATTGGATCTGGACATTTTCAGATGTCTATACAATTTTCACAATTTTCCAGGGATCTCAATGCTCAAATGCAATTTTCCCAAAACAAGGATTTAACACTGAGTGACTCTGGCATAGCGCCAATGATTATGTAAATAATACAACCTCATCATCAAGTGCCTTGCCAACTGGCATGGTTGATCATGCCTCTCCACAATCTGCTATCTGTCACTGCATGTATCAGCTCATGTGTTGATACCCTTCCACACCATGATGAAAGGCTGTCAAGAATATTCTCACTTTGTCTTCCTCGTTCTTTCTTTCCACAGATTTTTCCAGTGATCACAAGTTCCAATTTCCTTTTTTTTCTCATCACACGACCAAAAAATGATGACTGTCTCTTTCTGATAATGCACACATAGCACAAAACATTAATAAAACAGACTGTCTTATTGAGTCCATTCTGGTTTTCGCTTGTGAATGAAAGCCTGGATACCTTCTTGTGCATCATTCAGCTGCAGATTCTGTACCATTATTTTTTCAGCAAATCTGCACAACAGAAAACAAAAATAAATATTTTTTTAAAGCACTAGCTTTTAAAAAAAAAATGTGTCTTGAATTTTTCTAAGGTAAAGAATACGACTGTCTTTGACTGCCCCTTTTTAGGGCAGTGTGGGGGTGGGGGAGGAATCCTAAAGGATCGGTTTCTAATTTATCAATATTTTTACAGTAATGGATTTTAAATATTTTCTACATAATTATTTGTCTAACCAAACAGTTATGTTTATCATGATTACTCCTGCAAACTATTTCCTAAATCATAATAACATAAAGATTCTTGCACAATATGTGACTTTAAAAAAAATGTTTTTATGTTGAACTTGTGGATTTTAGTTGCTAAATCTTGCAAGCCAAATTCACCCTTTCGCAAGCAAATCAATTTCGCCCTACCACAAATCAGTTTTACCCCCCCCCCCCCCTCCTTTTCCCAATCAAATTCACTCTTTTTGCAAATCAGATATGCCCTTTTGCAAATCAAATGTATGCTTTTGCAAATAAAATTCACCCTTTCACAGTACACGTTTTTCTACAATATTTTCTGATCTGCCTCTCTCAAAAACGTGTCTTAGGGTTTTTCTTGAACATCCTGGTTTCTTCAATCCATATATTTCACATTTAAGTTTATGTAGCATGCTTATTTTTTTACAATATGGGGTAGCTAGCATTACATCAAATTTTTCTCTTCCCCCAGTTGGGCTTGGGACCGTCGATGGCAGAAATGCTGGGCTCATAATGATAGAGACCAGCGGTTCTCAAGCTATGGGTTAAGCCCCTTTTTTTGGTCGAACGATTCTTTCACATATGTCACCAAAGACCATCGCAAAACATATTTTCATTGAAGTTAAGTAGCGACCAAAATAATTGTATGGCTGGGGGTCACCACAACATGAGAACTGTATTAAAGGGTCATGGCACTAGGAAGGATGAGAACCACTGCTATAGACCAAAGGCCTGACCGTCTCTACAACCCTGTATATTTTAACAAATAGATCATTATGGTCTGAGGAGAGTGGTGCTGTGAGGAGTTCCAAGGGGATCTGGCTGATGCTCAACACTCAGGGGAAGGGTGAGACTGTTACTGGTACCATTGGAATTGAAATTCACTTGCTGTTGAAGATGGAGACCGTGTCTTATGGGGGTGTCTCGAGTGCTGTCATGTTAATTCTTCATTGAACATTAAGATGAATTTTATTTGTAAAAGGATTAATAAGATTTAAAAAAGGGTGAATTTGGCTTACCAAACCTGTATATATGTGATAAATTGTGTATAATATATGTTTTAATCATGGCGGCCTCAACAAATCTTAGCACTCTGCCATTGGATGACATATGAAGAATTTGAAACATGTTGTCCTTGATTACAGTGTGCCCAGAGAAAGACTTCTGTTTTGATCCTAAAACCTGGGAAGTCACTGCATGTGACCGCTCATCCTGGTGCTCCTCTTTTCATCGAGGAGCTGTGGCCCATGAAGCTGCTAGAACTGCAGCAGAAATTTAGAAAAGACGAGCCAGGAAAGACACTGAAGCAAATCACCAGAGAGATGCGTTTTCTATTCCTTGTCCACATTGCTGAAGAACTTTTAAAATTGGCCTTATCAGACATCTGCACACTCACAAAACCTAACCCAGACACCACTGAATGAAAGGACTGGTCATCATCACTTGTGATGGATGAACAACAACAACATGTGCCCTAAGTCCATAAGGTAACATGCTACTGTGGAGGACGGGGTGAGGGGGTGTCTTTAGGAGTGGTCACCTGGGTAGCATTTGTTAAATTACTATTCCTGTTGTTCTCCTCACTTTGATTGTAATGATTTAATGTTTAAAACAGATTTTAACAAAAAGGAGTATAAAAAGCTGTCTACTTTGGTATGGGAAAATAGTGTTATATAGAATCTGTACTTCCGTATGTATCTCAACTGTGGACAAAAAGCAGACAAGCTGAGAAACATAAAACAGCAGTAGAAATATGGTTTCTGAGGAAAATGCATGCACAAACAATACTACAGATGAACAGAAACACAAATTATGGATCTGTTTCAGAAATAGATGAAAAACAAAAACTGATCAGAGAAATTATAATGCACAGACAAGAATTATTTGGACTTGCTCTGCAGGAAAAAATATATAAATAGCTTGCACAGTGATTAGTAAATCTTTACTAATCTGTAATAAATCACAGACAATTAACTATTCAGTTGTTAACCCCCTGCAAGCACGGGATATAAACCACACCTCACCTATATGCATGCTTCCTTTCGAGTGCCATTTGAGAATAAAATGCTGCCTTTCCCAGTGCCACAACACTCTTACTTGTTTCACAAATCCTTTCTGCTATTTTCAAAGTCTGTAAAGGATGTACAAAATATGTCTACCATTTAGAATGAACAAAGTAGACTGTATAATCTATTTGTGTAAGAATAATTTACAGGCTGATCTATAAACGCTTGGAGCCATCAATCGGAAAGAGAAAAATAATCACAGAGATGAATAGAGGTGGGTGATTTCTGCAGGGGCTCGAAATGCTGAAGAAGATAATATATAAAAAAAAATAAATAGTTGACCTAACATAAGTTGTCTGGAAGTCTGAGAGTCCTAATTTAGGACTTGAATCTATCAGAGCCAGGTTGCAGATGAATCTCTTCTCCCAAGCCTAGAAAGTGGTGAGATGTTCAAGAGGCTACTCCACTTGGAAGTACAAAGTGTTAAAATTAGCTTTACAAAATGACCATTACAATAAACAAATAGAGCCACACGCCTGTATGAGCAGAATGCTAATTGTTACAAATGTCAGCTGGGCAAGCTTTCCTGCACAAAAGTATTTAACATTATTTGAAATTGACTATTCAATTTTCATAGTTTTTGTTTTTAACAAACTATGCTTTTAATCAGTCAAGCAAAAATGTTTAGTTCATCATCGTCATCATCATCATGAGCATATGCTGTGTTGATAAGAGTATTCTGTCATGTTTCAACATCTCACACAAACACAAGTGAAGTCAGTGTTCCTGTTTCACCCCATCCATATGGCTAAACCATCTAGGTATTTACCTCTGTGCCTTCCACTTTCTCACTTTCCGTTGATCTTGCTGGTTGTTACCAAGTTCTCAAGTACATTCCTTCTCATCACATGTCAAAAAAACAAAACGCTGATGATGTTCGTCTGATTCTAGGAGGATGCTGTAAATCAATCCAGTAGTTGTTGGAGGTTTGTGGTTTTAGTGGGGACTTTTAACTTGATAATTTGCCATTTGTTGTCTGAATGGACAAGCTGGATGTTGTGAGGGCCCTTTGGGAGCGAGTGAATAGTGCAGAGGAAAAGATATATCCTTATGGTCTGAGGAGTTACAAGATCTGGTCAGCGCTCGACACTCAGGGGAAAGGCGAGACGGATATACAATCAGACAGTTATTGGTACCATCGGAATTTTAACTTTTTGCTTGCTGCTGGAGATGGGGACGGAGCTCTTATGGGGGTGTCACGAGTGCTGTGATGTCGATTCATAATTCAACATTTCTGAATGGATGATACTCATGCAGTTGTAAAAATTAATGCAAAGCTGTCTGTTGACAAATGTCCTGCAGTGGGATGAAACCTAGCATGTGGGAATTATGAAACTATGTTCATATACAAATGCTGATGTTGTTTTCTATACAGAATGTGCACATGCATCCATATGCCTACACACATGTACATATACACTAGGCTATCTGGCTGTAACCCTGAAGGAAAACTGCAATTCTCTTGACAGTAGTATTTTCTTACATCTGTAAGTGTAAATCTTTAGCTGAATACACAGAGAAGAATCTATATTCTAGTTTCTCATGTATACACAAGGTATTAGGTTCACTTGTCTGTGAAACACATTTATGGCGGTTAAGATAAAATACACACTACTTCCAATGGCTTGTTTTGTAGAAGTGTTGATGTAGTTTACTCACCTCCTCCTCGACTTGATCTTCTGGTACAACTTTGCTAACAAGTCCATGCAGCAGGGCATCTGGCAACACAACAGTATGATTTATGGAAGAGTTGAGGATGGCGCATACTAGTATCACAATATGGGAACTACAGTAAACAAATACTCATATAACACAACCAAGTTGACACTTTTTTGCTTGGAATGCAAGTTTAGGCTTCTCCCACTCCTGCATATTACACAACTAAGGCGACATATATGTGCTTAGAATGCAAGCTTGGGCTTCTTCAACTCATACATATGACACAACCAAGACAACCTATCTGTGCTTGGAATGCAAGCTTGGGCTTCTTCCACTCCTACATATGACACAACCAAGGCAACCTATCTGTGCTTGGAATGCAAGCTTGGGCTTCTACCACTCCCACATATGACACAACCAAGGTGACACATCTGTGCTTGGAATGCAAGCTTGGGCTTCTTCCACTCCTACATATGACACAACCAAGGCAACCTATCTGTGCTTGGAATGCAATCTTGGGCTTCTACCACTCCCACATATGACACAACCAAGGTGACACATCTGTGCTTGTAATGCAAGCTCGGGCTTCTACCACTCCTACATATGACACAACCAAGGCAACCTATCTGTGCTTGGAATGCAAGCTTGGGCTTCTTCCACTCCTACATATGACACAACCAAGGCAACCTATCTGTGCTTGGAATGCAAGCTTGGGCTTCTACCACTCCTACATATGACACAACCAAGGTGACACATCTGTGCTTAGAATGCAAGCTCAGGCTTCTACCACTCCTACATATGACACAACCAAGGCAACACATCTGTGCTTAGAATGCAAGCTTGGGCTTCTTGCACTCCTACATATCACACAACTAAAGCAACATATCTGTGCTTGGAATGCAAGCTTGGGCTTCTCCCACTTCTAAATTTAACAGCAATCATGGATTGGGAAAAGAGACATTTCCACCTGGGTCCAGACAAAAAATTCAAATTAATCAGACAATAACATTTCAATAAACCAGACAATAAAATTTCAAATAAAGCAGGCAATAAAATGTCAATGAATCAGACAATACAATTTTAATAAATCAGACAATAACATGTCAATAAATCACACAATAACATGTCAATAAATCAGACAATAAAATGTCAATAAATCAGACAATAAATTTCAATAAATCAGACAATACATTTCTTATAATTCAGGGCTATTCACTTGCAGGCTGCCAAGTGGCCCATGGATGATTGCCAAAACAGTGAAATAAAATTATTTTAAAAACTTCCTATGCTAGGGCTATGGCCTGTGACAACTCCCATTTTCAACATTCTGGTACCTGAAAAAACTGATGTTATAATTATATAAATTATTTTTTTTTTAAATTATCTATTCCATTCTACACTTTTTCATTATCATGTTATAGCATACCCCATTCTACACTTATAAGAGAGCCATGGAAAAGCAGTGGCTACATGTTTTCTTGTTGGTCAGGCGGTCATAAATTTGAATCCCTAAGTCAAACTAACGTAAAATGTATATTAGGAAATTTTTGGGAAAGAAAAGACAGCTGGAATAATACTGACTAAATCACCCAATAAGTACTTAGTGGTCTGTGAAAACATGGTGCCAGTATCATAGACCCAGTATGCTGGTCTGAAATGGGTCCTTTACTTGTTTCACTATGCTGATAAAAAGCTGATTTTAAAACAATGTTTGTTTTGTTTCTGTTGAGCCACACATGCCTTTTTATTCTGCAGCCACAAAAGTAAAGAGTGATTTACCTTGAGCTGAGATTGGACGTCCTGTGAATAACATTTCCAAGGCAACTTTCTTAGGCAATGATCTGCCAACTGCTACACCAGGGGTGGTACAGAAAAGCCCGACACTCACACTGAAGATAACAGAAGAAACATACAATAGATCAGATGTGTGAATGTTTACATTAGAAAGTGAATATGCCAAATCCTCATGATGAAAAAAAAAACTATATAAAGTTAGTGACATATTTTTTACAGGGCGTTGCAGAACTGTTTGTGGTTTTACTAGGTGATTGTAATTTCGGTAGTTGCCACTGCTACTGAAAGGATGATGTTCATATCACTGTCTAAATCAACATAAATCAGTCTGAAGACAACATAAACATGTTAACTAAGTTCACAAAAACTGAATTCAAGGGAAGCCATGGTAGTCAAGTGACCAGGATGTTTGCCTGTAGGCCAAGTGGTCATATTTGAATTCCTACGAGCCAGATTTTACAAATGGTCTGGACTGACAGGTTGATCCAGCTCATACTGTCCTGTCAAATAAAAATGGCCACTGCTATATAGACTAAATAACCCATAAAGTGCCACTTGGTCTATCAAAATATGGGGCAAACACCATATGCCCAGGGCTTCCCAAACTTTGTATTAATTCCACACATACACACAAAAAACCATGAAAGTTTTACCCTGGGGTAGCAAAATGTGAACCTGTTGATGCCACAGCGATGTCACATGTTGCCACGAGCTGACATCCTGCGGCTGTTGCTAATCCTGAAGAGAAGAACAACACAACTCAATAAGTAGTTCTGTCTGGGTTTCTTCTATGTGGTTCTTTGTCAGTTGCCTTCGCATTTTTCTTTTCAATTAATTTGCTTTGGACATTCTATCATCTCTTAGGGATCTTTAATGTTCATCATTATTGTCACTATCCCATTGTGCCATTATATGTCACACAGGACTCGCAGTCTATTCCTCCATTCAGTTCTAACCTGTGCAATCAGTTCAATATGATGGATGCAATCCAGTCCAGCACCTTTTGCCTCTCTCATCACATTAATTTTAAGGTTTCTTGTGGGCGTCCTCGCTTCCTCAATCTAGCACCACCTTCTTTGTCTTGTAACTGTTGATAATAGTGGTTGCTCACTCATCAGGGATCTGAAATAAACATCAGGAAATACTTCCATTCTGAAACATTCTAGTTAGAAAGTCAAATGGAGTCTCTGAAGATGTTGATATATAGAAACATTGGTGTAATCTCTTGGAAAAAAAAATATGAATAAACACAGCGGTCTTTAAAAAAAAAAAAAAGTAGAGTAAAAATCCCTTTACACGCCCTTAGGCACATCGGGCATTTGGGAAGAGCACCCATATTTTTACAGATGAATCGGCACTCTGTGGGTAATGTGGTCAGCATTACGCCAGCCGTCTTTACTTTCCCAGGACAGCCCATTTGTGGCTGGGTTGACCTGCGACGCCCCATACCACGATAAAAATCCACGCAGGCCACGCAGGTTTCGATCGCGCTACATTGGATTACGAGTCAGACTCGCAACGCCTTACAGTGGTCTTTAGGAGACTGAAAATTAAAAAAGAGATGCTGAAAGAAATAAACAAGAGACAAGGAAAATATTTCAACTTTATTCAAAGACATAACATTTATAAAAACCATACTGGAAAAAAATGTGAAAGTATATAAGCAAGAGGTAGACAGCGATTCAAATAGAATGATAATAGGAAGAGATAAACGAAGTGCAATCACAGACAGCATACGACCAGGGAAAGAGAAACAGTGTGTTGGAGACCCCCATAGTCAACTTCAACCTGTTTTTGCTTTTGCGTGGTGACGGCACCTGATTAATTGATGAAACATTCATTCAGACAACTGATTGATGAAAAATTCATTCAGATAACTGATTGATGAAATATTCATCCAAAAATATATTCTGCACTGGTTGTTGTCCCATATGACTAGGTCTCTCTCCATAGAATGGCTCGTCATCTGTTGAAACAGTTGCACAAAGCACAAACCCTGTAGCTCCAGCAATGATCGCAAAGGATCTCTGTAAAAACTGCATAAAGCATGAGGCAAATATCCTAACCAGTTAGTCACAGAGACTTCCAATGCTTTAATTTACCCTGCTGACGTTTCCTCTGGACATGTACTAGAGTTCTGATACTAAAAAACTTAAAACCTTAGAGGTTTCAAGTTACAGCAAAAATTAACTATGTTGTAACAAACAGTTAAAATGTAAAGACACATAAAGACTTACCATTCACCTGTGCTATAACTGGAACAGGCAAGTCCTGAAAATGAAATGTTTTAGTAAAATTAAATTGTATGAATTAACAAGACATTAACATGAAATAAATAACGGCAGATAATCTGAGATATTATCAGTTTTATTTTGTTCATCCATTTTGGTTTTTTTATTTTTTTAAATTTCCAAGGGAAATATACTGTTTTTTTGTTGTTGCATTTTTAACTTGCTATGTCCAAGTAATTTTTTTTTTTCAAACATTTACATAAAGACTAAATGAATTGAGCAACAATGTCATTAACATGACATTATGAATCCCATTAGGTGCCCTAATTATAACTTCTTATGAGGTTGAAGGTGGGATTCGTCCCGTTGGACTGACATCAACTTTGCTGCTCATTCCAAACCATGACCCATAAAGCACACATAAATGACACGATTGTCATCGTAACAAACAAAAAACTGAGGTGCAAAATGAGAAATTAAACAGTGAAAAACAAGAGTAACAATATGTTGAAGACGTTACTAAAGAGGATTGATTGGCTACTCCTAAGCAGCAGAAATGTCAGCCATGGAATTCAACAAGTCAATTTTGCTTTAAGAAGTGTGTCAAAATTTTTTTTTTCTATTTCTCTTTGGGCTTACAGGGAAAAGGGCAGTTGGTATGTTGTGCTGTAGTTTACATTTAGGCTGTGGCATCTCCACCTTTATGCCTAACACAATCTTTTTTTTTCAGCACATCCACAATATGTCAACTTTTGTGACATACTTGTTAGGGAAGTGTTTTTCCACCAAAATGGGCCCCCCAGAAGGATTTAGGGCTCTCCTCCGATTAACGGTTCTAAATTATCGAAGCTAAGAAAATACCCTAACAGGTTCTCAGTCATGTGTAAAATTTGGATTTCTTTCCGGCGAATACACTAGGAGCGGGGGGCAAAATTGCGCGACTAGTCCAGCCTTCATAACATTAAGCTCATTTCATTTGCATGCATAACCCTTCAATCGTTAGTATCTGTTGTGGCAGATTCTGGTGGCGGTGTCGTAATACTCATTGCCCTAACCCTAAACCTAGGACCCAGGGGAGAAGTTAAACCTAGGACCTAGGGGAGAGGTTAAACCTAGGATCCAGGGGAGAAGTTAAACCTGGGACCCAGGGGAGAATTTAAACCTAGGACCCAGGGAAGAAGTTCAACCTAGGACCCAGGGGAGAAGTTCAACCTAGGACCCAGGGGAGAAGTTCAACCTAGAACCCAAGGAAGAAGTTAAACCAAGGACTCAGGGGATAAGTTAAACCTAGGACCCAGGGGAGAAGTTAAATCTAGAACCCAGGGTAAAGTTCAACCTAGGAACCAGGTGAGAGGTTCAACCTAGAACCCAGGGGAGAAGTTAAACCTAGGACCCAGGGGAGAAGTTAAACCTAGGACCCAGGGAAGAAGATACCTAGGACCTAGTGTCAAAGCTGATGGTTTAACTGCCATGGTGATAATTCTGTGATAATTTTTGCGTTTTGTGAAATCATCGCCGAAAATTAATCCTACTTTTGCCGTGGTGTACTTGCCAGAAAGGAGTCCACAATTTACATGACTGAGGACCTGTTCGGGTATTTTCTTAGTATTTTCTTTAGGACTATTATTCGTAGGAGAGCTGGATTTAGATTAATCTTTACACTATGATAGCAACACATCTTGAATGTGCCTTGTAATTCCTCATAATTTCTACTAATATTCATATTAGATCCCCCAACTCCCTGTGTAGGTTCAGGGGACGGACCAATTTAAGGTGGAGGTGGGGCAAACAAAGACTCACTGCCTTCTTATAAGCATGTTGTAAAAAAGCAAGAAATGAGCTGGACCAAAAGAGCGAAGGATATTGTAGCCTAGCTGAGAACCACAACACAAGGTCCCAACCTTTTTTAAAGGGCAAACACAGAAGAAGAAGAAGAAGAAGAAGAGAAGAAGAAGAAGAAGAAGAAGAAGAAGAAGAAGAAGAAGAGGAGAAGAAGAAGAAGAAGAAGAAGAAGGAGGAGGAGGAGGAGGAGGAAGATGATGTTGATAATGATGATCCCCTGATAAAATAATTTTGTCTCAATCCAAACTAAGATTGATTTTCATAAACAGACTTGGACCCCATAGTCTAATCTGATGCGGATTTGACCTGTTACCACCAGGAAAATGCCCTAGCCACTATGCTACTATGGCTCTAAATGTAATGTAAAGGCTATTTAAATACAGATGCAATTACTTGCCGAGGTTGATGGCAGAGGTCAAAGGTGCTGGACTAGATTCCATCAATGATATCGAATTGTTTGCACAGGACAGAACGGAATGGAGGAATAGACTGCGAGCCCTATGTGACAACATATAATTTCACAACAGGGCAATGATGATGATGATGATGACAACAATGATGAATTACTTGCCTGTATTAGGTCCATGACGTTTGTACATGTTGAAAATACCTCTTCATGATAGCCACTTCCTGTTTCTTTTGTCTGTTTTAGTACACCAACATAAAAAGAAACACTGATAACAATAAGTGATGTGATAATTAATAAATTTAAAAACAATTTGCATGTTACCTAGGCCCAAAAATGAAGTGATACGTAGTGACTATGTTACCAGACAATGCAAGTCAGGTCAGGCAAATAAAAGGGATTGGCATGAATCTTGTTTTCCCATCATTTAGAAAATCAATCATGAAACATCTACACAGAACTTGGTCTGAGTTAGTTAAGGGCCTACGCTCTATTTGGAGAAACAAGTAGAAAAGATGAAATGATTAATGCTTTATCCTTACACAGGAAATTATCTGCCTTTTTTATTCTGCCTCCATTGAAATAAAAAAAAAGGTGAACAGAACAAATATATCTACAAAACAGAAATCTACAGAACAAACAATTGGGTTGAAAAGTATGGATGAATAAAACACACAATTAATAATACTGAACAGCCCCCCCCCCCCCCCCCCCCCCCCCCAAAATTCTCTATTTTAATTTGTTTCTCCTTTCATTAATTTTTTTCATTCACCCATCTCTTTTTCGGTTAATCTTTTTTTTTAAAATAATATAGGCATTATAAATGCATTTAAAATATACACAAATTATTTTGCATTAATAATTATTAATAACTTTGGTGACTGAATTAAGGCAAGGGGAAAAACATGGCATAACAAGGTCAATGAATGCTTAGTATACTTTGATTTTACAAGTAAATTTTAAAAAAAAAAAAAAAAAAAAAAAAGAAGAAGAAGAAGGAAGAGCAGAAGATAAATTCAGGATACAAAATAAAAATATGTATGGGCAGAACATGCACTGTGATTTTTTTTTTTTATGACAAATAAAGATGGACAGAATTGAAAAGTAAAAGAGGGATGGACAGAACACAAATTAAAGAAATAAATGAAAGCTGGAACAGAACAGATCAGAAAATACAATTTATGAAGATGACAAGAATAGGTCACAGATAGCAAGAGCAAGAAAGGAGACAAAATTCATAAAATTCTCGCCCAAATACAACATTTCCAGGCAAAACTTCTAGCCAAGAAAGACAATGATGGAAGAAAAACCTTACGGGCCAGTAAGTGAATTACAAAAGTCTGTGAAGTTCATACTAGAGACACCAATGCAGATATAAATCAATAAATTTAAGCAAACGAAAGAAAAAGAAGAATAAGATTCTCACCAACTCCTTAAGGTCATGGCCAGCAGAGAATACAGGACCTTTGGCCTTGATGATGATAACCCGGAGGCTGTCCTGGTCACGAATGAGGTCACTGTGTAGAGACTGCAGCATGGCAAGAGATAAGGCATTCCTGGGAATTCCAGAAAAGACCACAACGTTAGCTAACAAATCAACAGTTTCTAAATGGGGCTGCTACACAGACACTTTCATTACACTACAACGTTTTTAAGTGAAATTTGATGTCAAAGGCAGTGCCTAACGTTTTTTTTAGATAAGGCTGAATAAAAAATAAAAAATGAAACTGCAGGTCTTTTCAGTAGTTTACTGGATTAGATATATAATGTCTGATTTTTTTTTCCTTCATATTTCATGTTCCGTGTTACAGACTGAAGGTCAATGGGAAAAAAATACTGAAAGGTATAATTACTATCTTTATCATGTCTGCATAATCCAACACAGTCTTTTCATACTTTTCAAAATGGTTTACTAATGATGCAAAAATGGTATATCTTGTTTATGGTATTACCTTTTGCGAGGATCATTAAGACAAATAGTTCGAATCCCTTTTTCTTGTGTTGCTATGGTTAAAGGTTCAGCAGCCGTCTGTGTTTGAGTTTGACATGTGTGGGACATCGACAGCCGTCGATCACCCTTTGATTAGATTAATTACAACTTTTTTAAAAAGCAAGTTAAGATATACATATAAATCATCAACCTTTTGAAACATGCATTATACAATTGTAACAAAAAATATGTAGCCGCTTCATTACACATACAAAGATGTTGTTGACTTATGCAATGTGGCTCTGTCTAGGGTTTGACTGAACTCATCACATTGCTATACTGACGTTCTTAGTTACATAAAGTTACTGGGAACACACCAGACGATGAGCACGTAGTTGTTGATCTTTTTTCGCAGTTTCCAACAGTCGAACTGTCCAGTTGCTCATTTGTGTTCTCGTGGGTGCTACACATGGCTGATTTATGACACTATTTCCAACTATCGCACCCTGTGATTCTCTCTGCCATTACCTTTGATATCCCATTTGAGACATTTGTATCTGATCACCACCAAATCCAGATCATGAATTTCACCAAACGTGGCGACAATCACTAGTAATATTTGGTAATTAAGTTTAAAAGCCTCCTAAGCTACTAAGAAGTCATAAATGAACAACACACAAATAGTACATGCTCACCCACAAAGAGCAGCTAATCGACAGCTGGATAAAAATTTATATTCATTTTTGAACAAAATTACACAGTGTGTAAATTCAAATTACTATAAGTTAGATAGCATCCAAAATATTTAACAAACAGCTACATAAAAATATTTACAAACAAGTTAAAACTATACAGTAAAGGCAGAACACACAGCTGCTAATTTGAAAAGTCATTCAACTCATAGTCTGAAAGTTGCAAGCTCTGGAAATTGTTGCTAGAGCTATGGAAGTTGGGCTTAGTACATCGTTCTCAACATGTGGCTAGCCACTGTATAAAGAGAGATTGAGCCATACGGGGTAAATGCAATGAAGCGGATACTTTTTACCTTAAACTAGTTTAAACTATTACCTCATAAAGTTTTTATTGAAAACAAGTGAGTTGGTGGCCATCTTTATATGTAAATTAGGTCATGTTACTTTGGATCGAAAAAATTTTTTTTGATTCTTATGTCTCTGGAAGACAGTTATTTGGCAGATAGCCATAAATTTATAGTGTTTACTTATAAATAGTGAGTTGGTGGTCATTTGTAAATGTTAATTAGACCTATACTGCATTATATTTATTTAGGAAATGCATATACAGTTAGGCCTCACTGCCCCAACTGCAACGATATATAGTTGCTAAGGAGTTCTTTAAAAAACAAAGTAGTTATTGCCATAAAATGCTAACATTTAGTCATATAGACATTTAGTCATGGTTCGAAAGATAACCCTCCATATCCTAAAGAAGTATATCCCACATGGAGAAGAGAGCTGGAGAATGGTTAGATAGATTGGGAGGACATAGGGAGAGCTGTATGCGATAGCAAAGGATAGAACAACTTGGCATGAGTTGGTTGAGCGCCTATGCTCCATTGGGGGCTAGAAAGGCAGAAGAAGAAGATTGTGAGACAGTTGCAAATGTTGAATGTAAATTTCATCTTGGGCATCAGCAGGTTCTGTGCTGGTTTCATGTATCCTTATACAAGACTGCTGTCACAGACTGCTTCCTGTGAATCCCTTAATAAGTGAATGGAAGGCTCAAAACACAGAAGTGAATTTAAGCAGTCATGTACAGGACGTGACAATTTCCTTGGGCTAGTCCAGTAACAGAGCACCATGTATCAGCTCTGCATTTATGGAAGCCTCCTTGGATGGCGTGTAATGCCCTTGCTATGCCCCTGCCTTCCCTTGAGGGTCGACTAGTTGCAGCTGTCCTGGACGGGTCCTCAGTGAACATAATACACTGTGGATCAGGGGAGGATGAAGTCACCACACACATGAGGGCTACAAATTTCCCACAAAACTAACTGAGAAGGGCAACAAATGCCCGAAGAAGCCAGATGTTTCGACCGAAAGGCGCAGATCTCGCAGCTATGCTGTTAAACAGGCACAACATATTTACATCACTCAAACGGATGATTAAAAAATACATTTTGAGGTAAATTAGACATATGGTGCTAGCCTTATATTATAAACAATCCGCACTCAGGCAAATGACATGGCCAGTACCATGAAGACTGCCTTTACTTACCATGACATTTCCTGATACTCATTTAAAGCTATACTGACCTAGAAGGAACATTTTAAGATTAAACCTCTTGGTTTGTTTAAATCATCCATTACCAAGCAACAGCATGAGCTTGCTAATTTAAATGTATATGATCTATTTTTCTCTGATTTCGTGAATTTTCAAGCTTCATCAACTGTCCCAGTTCTTATTTATACTTCAACTACTCCTGTCCCATGGCACTATATTAACCTTTCAAAACCAAACTTAGATAAATTAAAGTAGCAAAGTATAATATAACCAGTAAAAAATACTTGCTGGATACTGAAAGAGTGAGGGAGTAACGTTCAATTCCCACTAGAGCCGTAAACCGAGCGACTAACACCCGGTGACACAAAGTGCTAGTGCAGTGCTACCATTCAGAATGAATAGGTTCACCCGGCCACAAGTCCCGGAAACCCCGTTCAACTTGTGGGTTTTATTAGGGCCCCCGACAACAACCGTGGTGGAGCTTTAAAAAAAAAACTGCGTTCCAAAATGGGGCAAAATAATATTGAAAGAGTTAAGGCAATACGTAAAAAATATCTGCGACATTAGGTTCATGGCTAGTATATTTTTTATTATTTTTAGTATTGTTAACATACCAGCAGGCTATTTTTGCAGGAGGATGACTGCAAGGAGCGCTGTACATATCTCAGGCTGTAACTTATCCCTTTTCTTGCATTCATCTCGATCACAATTTGAAGAACGGCTACAAGTACAAGAACTTTTTCCGCCTTTTCTGCAACAATGAAACCCAAGTAAACTGAACTAAAGACGACGTGAATAGAATGCTGCTTGTTTGTGTTGTTAGTTCACAATGACCTCCCTTCAGTTCAAAGTTTAAAGGGCAACTTCCCTGCTTGGCATATGATACCATTGTAATGTCATATCTGGTAACGGTGGAAGTTTTATATTGTTATTTGAGGATCCTCGACGGTGCTACAGAGCCTGTGCACTGTGCTAAGCTTATTCGGACCCGTGTGCCATGATATTGATTCGTTGTTTAAACTTCAACTTCAACTGTTTGTAATCAATGACCTACGATATTCAAAATGTTCCACAACCTTTCGTCTTTCCTCATTAACATATATTTCTTTCTCTTTAGTAGTTTTATCATGACAAATGTAAGCAGGGAATCTCTTGAGGTAAATATCCGGGCACAGATTATGTTTACATACTAGAGATAATGGAGAATGTTGACACAGTGAAGTAACAAACAATATAGGTTAGTTGCGTATCATTTACAGAGCGTTGCAGAACCAACCCCAGCAGCCCCTTGCTGTTGAGTGGTTTCTCTATGCAAATTTACGTCCAGTAGTAACAAACACCGACCGACCAGAAAACAATGGCAAACTACTGGATGTAAATTGCCTAGAGAAACTATACAACAGCCAGGGGCTGTTATGGTTGGTTCTGCAACGTCCTGTAAAGTAACAAACAATATACTGCATAATTTATTATCTGGTATATTTCGTTGTTTCTTGTAATTATCTTGATATAAGCCCTTGCAGGAATGCATCCGACGAAATACAGGAAAATGTGTAGGGCAATAAATTGTGCAGTATATCGTTTGAGACTTCTTTGTGAAAACTGTTTGTTTTAAAACCCTACTTCTTATCTTCATTATTATGAGTCGTCATCATCATCATCATCATCATATCAGTTTCCACTTCTGCCGTTAAGCGGGAAAGGAGGGGGGGGGGAGACAGTTTGCGATCCATTGCTTGATGGACAGCAATGGCTATTGTCATTCAATGTAGAAAGTCTTTAATGTTTTCAGTCCATATAATCCTGGATCGGCCTCGTGTTTTCAATTCAGACCTTTTCATGTGTAGCCATTGCGTCGGTAATTGTTATGGCTGCATTTTTACCAGATTATCAAACCATTTGATCTTCTGTTTCTCAGTGAATTTGCTGCATGGTGTTGTTCCTACAGTCTGTCTAGTAATATCGTTTTCAACGTTGTCTCTAATGGTTAAGTTGGCGGCTTTTCTTATTTCACATGTGTTAAATTTACATAGGTTAGCCGTTTAAAATGTCAGTCTGGCACAGGTAGCACAGTGTTGATATGAATATATAGTCTGTAATCTGTATTTGGCGCTCATACTTATGTTTGGATATCCTAATAAGGGTGTTAGTTGATATATATGTGCACTGGCTTGTTGGCATCTTGTTTCTATTTCCCGATCTAGTCTCCTGTCCTCCGAGAATATACTTCCTAGATATTTAAATTATTTAAATTGCTTCAGACAAGTCCTATTCAACCCGATATGCAGCGGACTAGAAATTGGGTGACCTGCTTTATTCGGTTAAAGTAGTATTTATTTTCATGTTATATCTTCTGTATGTTGAATTTAGCCTGTTCAAATGTTCTTGCAGTCTACTCCTCTCATCAAAGAACAGGCACTGATAGTCTGCAAATAGTAGCTTGTTTATTGTATGTGGATACATTTTTCTTCTGGAACATAAACAATCTTATTTTATCGATTTTCTGGGTCGACTGCTTTAAAATTAGATTATTTATATCGTCAGTCTAAGTATATTGTAAATAAGAGAAGAGAAAGCATACATCCCTGCCTCGCCCCTGTTTTGATTGTAAACAAATCAGATATGCCTTTTTGTGTTCTCATTGCGCTTTGTGTGGTACGTGGCCATAATGTTATCTAGCAATTGTCCTTCTAATTATTATAAGTAAACAGTAAAAAGCAAAGGGCCCTTTTACAACTAGCACTGCGGCACATCGTGCATACTATACCAGGTCTGTATTTGTATAAACCAATCGGCACTTGATGAGTGGTGTTATCAACATAACGTGTGCCACCTTTACATATAAGGACATGTTGTGACACCTATTTTAGGCTGGGTCGATTTGGCAGCTACGGTCAATTTAAAATAAAGTCAGCCCAGATACCGGCTTAAAACCTAAGACCTCCGACCGACTACAAGCATACGGCGACTGCACTTTTCTAGCTTTCACAGAATTTTTTATTTTAAATCTCAGATTTTCAAACCTTCAGGCAATAGCCCGGAGGATGAAGTCAGCCAGTCATTGCTGTCTCCGGTCATGACCTACTTCAGATATTTGTAATGCCCGTCTGACTTGTTTATTTATAATACTTGCAAAACAAGTAACGGATTTTCCCATTTTATTAGTAATATATAACGGCCGTCTCGTGGTGTTACAAGTCGAGACTTGAAGATTAAACAGCTAAAGGGGCCGTGTTACAAGTAGACCTTGCTGTCTCTACAGCCGACCGTGACCTGTTCTTGAACTTGTAAGTTTTACCCCACCAGGACATCATACAGAGAGTGATAAACATCCGATGACACAAAGTACCATCATGCTGATGAGGGTCCCTCCTAGAAAGGTTCCATAAACCCCGTTCAACCGTTAGGTTATATTAGGGCCACTGGCAACAGCCGGGTTGTGGCTTCAGAATAACGAAAAATTGCATCCCACAGGGTGACGATGAATAACAGTTTTATCACCTGTACTTGTCTAACGGGGGCCGTCTTTATAGATAGCCGTGTTATCTAAATAACGAAATGGTTTTCCCGTTTTATTTGTAATTTCCTAACTGAAGTCCATTAGATACGTTTGGCACGGCCATGCCATCTATAGATTATACTACAGATTGAAGTCGGTACGGGCGACTGTTTGGTGATTTACAGTAAAAACTCGAAAGTTGACCATCTCTATACCCTGCCAATCTGCCTATATTGAGCTCATTTTCATTGACTGGACGGTCACTATAAATGAGTTAGGAGTTGGGTTATCTTCACGGAACTTCGGAAACGTCCATAGGTGCTCAAATTCTCTCTAATAATTATATATATATACGTATACATATACATATTAGCGTCCCGCGGTTTGTAGTGCCAGTCCTAAGCTGGTTAACAAGACATATTGTACGTACAGCGTGCCTTTCATGCCTGGATGTACTGATCTCTACTCCAAATTTTCAATTGTTGGCAGTGATATGTACCGTATTAAGAAAGGTTGTTGCGTATCCTTTACAGGACGTTGCAGAACCAACCCCAACAGCCCCTGGCTGTTGTGTGGTTTTCTAGGCAGATTTCCGTCCAGTAGTTAGCCATTGCATCTGGACGGTCGGCTTTCTTGATACCACTATCGAAACCAACGCAAGGCACATGGTCCGCAGCTGGGATAAAACCCGGCATCCCGGCATTACGAAGCGTTTGTATTAAGAAAGAACGTTTGGGAAAAAAAACGAAGGGTATAAACAATTGAAATAAATTATTAAATTTGAAAAAATTAAAAATAAATTTGTTGAACATTAATTCACCATCCACCCCCGAGATTGAGAACACCAGAACTATAAATGAAACTGTTTTCTAAGAAGTAGCTGCTATTTTTATCACAGGAGCAATATTTTATTGCATTAACTGAAATATTGTGTTAGCGTTGATGGCCAGAACTGTTAAAAAGATACCGGTTTAAGTATTGTAACGAAAATCCTTAAGATGTTCACGGAGAATATCCGCTAGCTTTCTAAAGGTTTCCCGAATATATATGCATTATAACATTATTATTATTTTTGTGTGTAGAAGATCTTCTTCAGCATTCCGAGCCATTGAGGTTCATTGCTGCAGATATCATCCGCCTCCATTCATCTCTCTGGTTGGACTTCTCTTTCCAGTTGGTGACACCAAGTGTTGGCAGGTCTGTCTGGATATTATCTCTCCATCGTCTTCTTGATCTGCCTCGTGGTCTACAACCATTCATCTCCCTGTTGTACACAGTTTTTACTTCTCTATCATCTGACATTCTTTTAATATGCCCCAACCATTTCAGTCTATTAGCTCTCATGATGTCAGTGATCAGTGGTGATTTAAACAGATTTTGAATTTCGTTGTTGCTTCTCACTCTCCATTCACCGCTGTTTGATGGGTCCAAAGATTCGTCGTAAGATTCTGTTTTCGAAAACCTGTAATAAGGCTTTATCTCTTTTAGTTGTGCTCCAAGTTTCAGAGTCATATAACACTACTGGTCTAATCAATGTTTTATGTATTTTGATCTTGGTGTTGCGAGACAGACACTTTGACTTTAGCAGATGTTGAAGGGCATAGCATGCTTTATTTCCAGATTGTATTCTAGATTGTATTTCTTCTCTCAGCATGTTGGAGCAGTTGAAGTTTGCACCCAAGTACTTATATGTTTCCGTTCGTTTGATTTTCATATTATCGACTTGTATGAAGCAAGAGTTTATATCCTTTCCCTGTCTAGTTATTATCATGTATTCTGTCTTTTCATGACTAATAACTAGTCCCATTTTCTGATCTGATTTTTTAAGACAGTCAGTGTTTTAACAGTCTATAGTGTAATTTCTCCAACGATATCAATGTCGTCAGCATTTCCAAGTTTTATTGTAGTATCTCCTAAAGTACACTCTTGTTTCAATTTCCTTATAATTTGCCCAAGGGCCAAGTTAAAAAGAAGTTGGGACAGAGAATCAGCTTGCTTTAAACCATATGTTATTTAAAAAGGGTCTGACTTTCTGCCTTTATATATTTCTATATTACAAGTGTCTTGCATACATAGTTTGGTCATGCTAATTAACTTTTTTTGGTATTCCAAAGTCCTTCATAGCATTCCATAAACTGTTTCTTTGCACACTATCATACGCCTTTTTAAAATCCACAAACACATTATGTACATCTTTTCTATATCCCAATTTTGCTCTGCTTTTAGCCGTAAAATGAATATCTGATCTATTGTTGATCTGTTCTGTCTGAAACCCGCCTGGTAATCTCCCAATATTTCTTCGATGTATGTCTTTAGCCTGTTTAGCGGTACCGCTGATATTATCTTATAGCTTGTGGATAATAGTGATTTTCCATTATAATTGAAATGCTTGCCTGACCGCACCAAGATGGAGATGGATATTTTCCTACTCCTTTTACGATCGTAATTTTATCGAAAATATCAGGATCATGTCTTTCGAGATTGGCATTTACAGTTACACAGATGCAAACCAGCACATGTAACAGACATGTGGTGCGGTGAGGTTCGAAGACGTAACTGATATATTCTGTTTATCGTACGTTCACGGTTTTTTTATGTGGAGATTGACATTTACAGTTACACAGATGCAAACCAGCACATGTAACAGACATGAGGTGCGGTGAGGTTCGAAGACGTAACTGATATATTCTGTTTATCGTACGTTCACGGTTTTTTTTTTTTTTTTCTATCTTGGAGCTAAAATACCTACAACTCTTGTGACGTAGATGGCAAGCGTTCCTCGAATGGTCTCCTTTAATGTGGGTGGTTCGATCCTTTTTGTCAGTACGCTGAGATTTAGGCGAAAATCAGAACGGCTAGGGTTCAGTCATGTACAAGTGTGCTTCTGGAATTGTCGAAGTGCCAGACAGAGAGGGTCAATACTAGAAAGGTTAATTTATGACTTTGATGTAATCATGCTTCAGGAGCTTAATGCAGATAAATATCATTGCCCTGGATCTGTCAGTCATGTAAACCCTGCTGGACATGGGAGACATGGACAATGTCTGTTAGTAAAGGAATGATTAAAACATGTGATGCTATAGAGGTGCAGGGAATGCAGATGGAGATTGGTTGCCTAAGTTGGAAAATAATAAATGTATATGTTGCCGTGGGCTCATTAGTTACAAAGCATTAGTGGGACTGGTTGAAAGACTTGGATGGGATCCCTGGCCCCACTCCGGCCATTGTCAGGGGTCCTAGTATAACCCAACGATCAAATGGGTTTTCTGGGACATGTGTGTCCTAGTATAACCCAACGATCAAATGGGTTTTCTGGGACATGTGTGGCTGATGGTTTATCGCTGGTTGTGCGGTCCTGGTGGGGGTTGAATTTCATTCATTCAGCTGCCATAACTGTTACCGCGGTGAGACATTTTTTTTTTTAGTTTGGTTATAATGGTCTTTGTGTTTTATTAATTGTTAGTGTCTTTTTTTTTTTAAAATCCAGAAAGCATAAGTTGTAAACCCTTTGACTCGGTACTATAAATATTATAGCAAACCCTGGACCTTGATTCAATTATAGATACCGTAAATCTGTAAAATATGTGGCTTTTCTGCCTACCCACGAGCGTGAACTCGGACCAAAAGGAGTTGTCACCCAGTCGCCGTGTAGCTGGTTTAACCAACTTAGCTAGCGCGTTGGGCCAGTCAAATGATAAATCTATGTATTTTCCGGATTCAGATCTTTTTTACATCAGCGCCACAGAGTTATATCCAGTGTTTTAGCTTTGCTGTTTTGAAAAGGTGATTATTCAATGAGAACCAAATGTCTGTAGCTTTAGGTGGGTTAATTGTTGCCCTAGAGATGTCGCTATCAAATGGGACTCGCGCCATATTCCAGATAAAACCCTACACATGGACATGTGATCTTTACTAAATTATTTAGACCCATTATCTATGAAGAGACGCATCAATGTATATTATAATTACTATTTTACCCCTCCCCCACCACCCTTCTGCCCGAAGAAAAACAGTTTTATACGGGCCGATATCCGTATTCCTTCACCATTTTAGGTTTAAGGTTGTGACTTTGTGTTTAAAATATCCAGAATACACTTAAACTTGTTTAAATCTCTCTACCATTAATGACTGACTGACTTTTACCCCACCAGGATATCACACAAGCGATAAACACCAAGTGACACAAAAAGCCACCAAGCGGATGAGGATCACACGTGGAGAGGTCCCAGAAACCCCTTTCAGCCGTTAGGCCATATCTATGACTAGGCTATATCTATGCCCCAGTTATATTCAGCCCCCCCCCCCCCCCCCCCCGGGTGCGGCTTCAAATAACGAAAAATTGCAAATCACACGGGAATGACCAACTAAAAAAAAAATTTATTACTAACAAATTCTTAGCCTTTACACTTCCCAGACACACATCAGAAATGGGAAAGATCCTGAATTTAAAGAAAAAAAAAGCTGGTTGGATAATATAGACAGGATAATGATGATGGGTACCTTTACATCCTTGCAGAGAAGACAGAGACAATGGATTGTACACACCCAGAGTAGACGAGGATGACCTAACAAGACTGTAAGATCTACACTCGTGGTTATGGGAAAGGGGAGGGGGATGAGCACATACTTTTCGAGGTGCTTTATTAATTTCCTACCCCAGATGACATCACAGGACAGTTCAACATTTAGAGGGTGGTAAGACTGGGTTTTCCAGCTTTCTGATGCTTTTAACGACCCCAAAACATCTAGAATTGGCCCTAATCCAACCCAACTACGTCCCACGAGAGAGTGTAGCCTAGGTCACGCGACTGCATGCAGCCTAGCTCCCACGACTGCATGCAGCCTATCTGCCACCCCCTGAGATATTAGACTGTCCAGTTACCTGTGGATTTCCTCTGTTTGGGGTAAGATATTAATAAAACACCCTTTTCGCTAGTAGTAATGATTATTGACATTATATTCGTTTTACTGAGTATATTAATTTCACGTTCTCTTCTCTCTCAGATTAATAGATTGACGGTGTGTGTGTGTTGGGCTAATAAGCAATTATCGCTTGATCTGTGATTTTGGATGATAACTACACCTTCAAAGATTCCAACAGCAGCATTAGCAACAATGACCAACTAAAATATCACAAATATCTGTGACTGAAATATATTGTTAAACACTTTGTGTCATGGCGGCGGCTTTGGATACGCTAGCTTTAGCCGCAGAGGAGAGAGCCAAGCAGGGAATTCATGAATTAGAAATTAGTTTTGGCGGGGAACTTGACCTTCATAAACATTACAAAAACTGTAAGAAAAATCCTGCGCATCAAAACTTTTTTCCAGTGAGTAAATTAGAGAAATATCACCTCCCTGAACCTTACTGTTCGAGTGAAATCATAGACTGGATTAGGCGTATGTCAGCGTTCACTGTTAAAATTTCTGTAAGGTATGTAAGTCCTAACCGGCCGCCTGGATATCCCCTATCAAGCCGTGCAGGACAGAGAGTTCTCACTGTGGGCAGTGGGTATGTGACTGACATTATACCAACAGTAGAAAATGGCAGACTTGAGCCAGTGCGTGGTTACATCATTGTAGCTACCGCAGCACATGTTGTCTTTGACGACGAAGAAGCTAAAAACACAGTTGTTGAGTTCTTCTACGATGACCCAGACGATAAACGTGGTGTTATGACAGCGAAAGGGGTAAAAGTGGGAGCTTTCAGTGTAGAGGGAGATTTCTGCGAGCTGGTGTGTGACACTAGACAGACATTAGCTACAGTAACTGCATTATCTTTGGAAGATACCGATGCACAAAAGGAGACGCATCTGTGATCTATTTCGATATATGCTGCCTGGGTTGGAAAATATCGAACTTATATCTGATAAGACTTTTAAGTTTCTTGTCACGATCAGAGTGAAATATCCTTATGAAGCTGTAGAAGCGTTGGTTTTACTTGGTGCTTGTACTGAGGAAGTTGTAGACAATGCATTAACACACTGGAGGACTGGTCGTTTTCGTGCGATGCTCAAGTGCAACATTTTTATACAACATAACTTTTTAAATATGATAAACGTTGAGTTACACATTGCGAAATTAACAGACGATAATAAAATCACTACATCATTTCTACAGTTACACAGTAGTTTAGTAGCTTTGCGGGAAACAGTAAGACATGCGATTATAGGCAGTTCTAAGACGAAGCAACACGAGTTTATGTCACTGATATCAATACTTGTTCAGTACTACTCCATTGCCGAGAGCGTCGAAAAAAGATTATACTTACAGTTACCTTATCCAGGGATAGAACTTCGCCTCCAAAACAGGCAGAAGTTGGTGAATATTGGCAACGGCACTGCAACTGTTGAAGTTACACTTTTGAGAACAAACGAACGCTTTGTTATGTATCGTAGAATGGAGCATATGTTTGTTAGTGATTCTGATAGACACGGATGTGAAAATGAATTTACAGAAATTGGTCCTGACAACACAGAGCGTGAGCTTCACGACACGGAGTGTGATCCCGTCAACACGAAATCTAAACCTGACGACACAGAATGTCAGCCTAGCGACACGAAATTTAAACTTGACGACAAAGAATGTAACGATTTAGTAATTATTCACATAGCACATCCCCATGGTCAGTCCAAACAAGTCACTATTGGCAGACAAACAGACTGTTTCACTGGCAAAGGTTTCTACCATCAACGGTACACAGCACCCACATGTCCGGGCTGTTCGGGAGGACCTGTGTGGGTATTACTTGCATGTGGAGATCCCAGTCAAGTCTATGGAGTGCCACACAGTGACCATCATAGGAATAAGTTAAACACGGGATGTTCTTTGACTATATACCCACCGAAAACGTTACTTTACTATCCTACCCTAAGGCCCCAGGAAAGCGAAAAATTTAGAATCAGATATACTTCTACAAAAGATGCTTTACATTCCTCGGACCAATTGTTCCTATTAATTATTATTAGTTTGTGTGTGTGTGTGTGGGGGGGGGGGGGGGGGGGGGGGTTGCTTCGAATTGTTTTAGAGGAATTCTGTTTGAGATGATTTTTTTTTAAAACAAAAATATTCTGATGACTAACATAGATTCCTAGGGAAATGACAGTGGAGATTTTCCCAGCAGACTGTACATGCGAGAATGGATTCTGTTCACTTTTCCGGTATACCTAATATATATATATATACACGTACTGAAAGCTTTAAACAATCAGTCGTGTGCTGTCTCCGCAATAAAGGCTGACTGCAGTTGATTCCAGCTCTATATACTCTTCGGACATGTTCATTGTTCTATTGATGTTATTACATCTATCTTCTTCTTCTTCTTCTTCTTCTTCTTCTTCTTCTTCTTCTTCTTCTTCTTTTTCTTCTTTTTCTTCTTCTTCTTCTTCTTCTTCTTCTTCTTCTTCTTCTTCTTCTTCTTCTTCTTCTTCTTCTTCTTCTTCTTCTTCTTCTTCTTCTTCTTCTTCTTCTTCTTCTTCTTCTTCTTCTTCTTCTTCTTCTTCTTCTTCTTCTCTTCCACCTTTTACCTCATCGAAGTGTCGGGGGTAGATTTAATGTTCGTTGATAAGCTCTTTCAAGAGAACTATTAAGACTGATGTTCATTTCTGTAAGGCTGTTCTTAATGCCATCACTCCATATTTTATAAGGTCTTCCACTCGCTCTATATCTGTTGTAACGTTTTAGTGTGACTCGCTGTGGTGAACAGTACCAGGGCATTCTTGTTAGGTGTCCAAACCACTTCATTTATTGTTCTTTGATGACCTGTAAGAATGGCTTTATAATTACATCTTTATTACACCTATTGCTGTCTATATCTTGCTCCATTGATTCCAAATGTATCCCCAGTAATAAAAAGATACATTTTTTAATACTACTGGGAACTATAGACGACAATGAAGTTCAACAAGATCATGTAGGATCTAAAAGAAACAATAATGGCCAGAATTTCCATGCCAGGAAGAAAATCATGAGTCCATCTATCCTACAAGAGCTGAGGCAGACGAATAATGTCTGATGTCTCTCCATTGGAAAAGACGATAAAGTTACAGTTGTTCGTGGACAGTAAAAGGGACAACAGAAGGGAAAGGTGACCAAGTCTTAAAAAAAATAAAGAAAAAACGTAAAGGACCCTTTTCCACGTCCTTCAGGCGAATTGGACATATAGGGCTAGACTTATATTTTATAAACAAACCGGTACTTGGTGGGTAATGTGATCAGCATCACGCCGGACGCCTTTACTTCCCGGGACTTCACCTGGCACCCACTTAAGACTGGATCGACCTGAGATCCAAGGTTATTTTTGAAAAAAATTGTCCGGCCTCCGTCAGGAACCGAACCCATGACCTTCCGATCAGCAGGCGAGCGTCTAGCCGCTAGACCACTTCTTCTTCTTCTTCTTCACTTCCTCTTTTACCGCTGTGGGTGTCGAGGGAGATATAAGGTTCTGTTTCTAGCTCTTCTGGCTGCCTCGACCATAGGCACATCGTGCTGTTGTAGAGTTTCTCTGATGTTATCCTTCCATCTTGTTCTTGGTCTACCCCGTGCTCTACGTCCTTCTTCTCTTCCCATGTATGCTTTGTATGGTATGGTGTCACAAGGCATTCTCTCTAAGTGGGCAAACCATTTCACTTGCTGTCTTTGTATGTAATCCAGAATTGGTTCTGTGCCGACTTGTTCTCTTATGATCTCATTTCTGATCTTATCTCTTATGGTCACTCCTACAGCCCTTCTCAGACATCTCAATTCCGTGGTTACTAATTTTCTTTTATGGTTTCTTCTTCTTCTTTCGTTCGCATGAAATAAATTGTCTATATCTGCAAAGCCGTCTCTTGTATGAATTTCACTGTCTTTTGTAATTCACTAAGCGGCCCGTAAAGTTTGACTTCCACAAGTGACTCTTTTGGCCAAATGTTTTGCCTGAAAGCGTTGAATATGGGACAGTCTTGAAGGATGTGATCTGTTGTTTCAGGTGCCAGTCCACAAGTACACATGGCCGATTGGCCAATCTTAAATTTGTTGTACATGTGGGAGCGAAGTCTATTGTGCCCTGTTCTAAGACGGAGGATAATAACTTGCTCTGGTCTGTCCATAATATGGTAATCATCTTGTGCCAGTTTCGGTGGCATTCTGATTGATTTGATCATTCTCTTCTTCTGTTGATAAGAGACTGGTATGTCAGGTTGTTCTTCAGTTGCACCTTCCTTAGCTAGTTTATCAGCTTTTTCATTTCCGGGAACTCCACAGTGGGAAGGTATCCACTGCATTACTAATTTACAGCGGTTGCCTAGTTCGGATAATACTGTCCGTATGCTTGGTAATTTTCCAGACTGGAGTGACTGAAGTACTGCTTTTGCATCTGTCAGGAATACCACTGGTTGTGAAAAATACCCTGCATTTAGTAGTTTCTCTACCGCTATCTTGATGGCTTGAACTTCTGCATCATAGTTGTGACAGTGCTTTCCCGTTGGTAATTTGGCTGTATCCCTGGTATTATTAGGATACTCAATGTACACTCCCGCACCTCCGTTTCTGACTGCGCTTTCTGCTGACCCATCTGTGTAAACACGGACCCAAAGGTTCTGCGGGTATTCATCATCAAGTAAACTGAGGGTGGCTGTTTTGCGCTGCACACTGTTTTGTTCTTCCTTGTCAAATACCCCTTTCACTTCAGTCTTGATGTGTATTGGAAACTTATACTCCTCTCTCCAGGGGGTCCGTTCTGGGACAGCATTTAAGGATCTATCAGTTGCAGGTAAATCAGTGGTTTGTCTGCCGAGCCGTTTGGCCTGGTGGATAAAACTACTTCTCTTTAGTCGTCCCAAAGCTAAATTTTTGAATCTTTCATTCATAGGGTGACTGGGCATACTAAGAAACTTTTCTGCTTGTAAAAGCATCTTGGTGTCTCTGCGTTCACTTAGTGCTTGGGTCATCCCCATTTTCTCCATCACCGCTATAGGTGTTGATTTCATACTGCCTGTGGTAACTCTGAGTGCTTGATTTTGCACTTTGTCTAATTCTTGCAATGTGGTTTTTGATGCCGAACTCCATGCTGTTGATCCGTATTCAAGATGTAGTCGAACACTTTGTTGGTAAACTTTTCTAAGTATTTTCCCGTTAGCACCCCATGTGGTTCCACTTAGTTTTCTCAGAATGGCTACCCTCCTTCTGGCTTTGGTTGCTGCCTTGTTGATGTGTTTTCTCCATGTTAATCTATCATCAAACGTTACGCCGAGGTATGTGGGCTCCTTATCCTCTCTCAGGGGTACTCCATTTATGTGCATGGCGCCAGATTTTTGTTTAGGAGAAAGGGTAAAGAGAGTGGTGCTGCATTTGCCTATGTTGATGCTGACACACCATTTGTCGGCCCATTTAGCCATTGCATCTATGGCTCTTTGTAGCAGTCTGGTGGCCACTGTCGCATTTTCATTTGTACACCAGAGTACCAAGTCATCAGCATACATTGCAGCTTTAATTCCATG